CGTTAGTCAATAGTTCTTTAGTCAATGGTTCATTAGTCATTAGCTCTTTAGTCAATAGTTCTTAGACAATAGTTCATTAGTCGATTGTTCTAAATCAATAGTTCTATAGTCGATAGTTCTCTAGTCAAAAGTTCTTTAGTGAAAAGTTCAGTAGTAAATAGTTCTGTAGTCAAAAGTTCATTAGTCGATCGTCCTTTAGTCAAAAGTTCATTAGTTGATCATTCTTAAGTCGATAGTTCTTTAGTCACTATTTCATTGGTCAATAGTTCTTTAGTCAAAAGATCTTTTGTCAAAGTTCTTTAGTCGATTGTTCATTAGTCAATAGTTCTTTAGTTAATAGTTCTTTAATCAATGGTTCATTAGTCGATAGCTCACCAAATGTTCTTAGGCAATAGTTCATTAGTCGAAAGTTCTTTAGTAAACTGTTCTTTAGTCAGTAGTTCATTAGTCAATAGCTCTTTAGTCAATAGTTCATTAGTCAATATATAGTTATTTAGTCAATAGCTTTTTAGTCAATAGTCCATTAGTCAACATTTCATTAGTCAATAGTTCTTTAGTCAATAGTTCTTTAGTCAACAGTTCATTAGTTAATAGTTCATTAGTTAATGGTTCTTTATTTAATAGTTCATTAGTAAACAGTTCTTCCGTGAATAGTTGGTCAAAATTAGGTTGGACTATTTCAAAATATAAACCTCTAAATGACATCTCAGACAAATGCTCAGTGTGTGGCAACAGATCATGATAACGGTATATACACCTTAAGCACCTTATTCATCTATCGTATCGGCAAATCCTGCGATGTGTTTGGACACTTGTATCTAATCTTTAGTTCCAAACGTTTTCTCAAGCTCACTCGGGTACTTACAAGTTGGGGTCATCCACGCAATGGGCGGCAGTCAACGCCCACCGGGAGTTCAGCAAGGAGCAGCCACAGGTGTGAGTTATCTCCCCTGAGGAGCGGAGCTTCCTGAGCGAACCCTGCCATTGCCACGTGTTAGGCGCTGCCTCCGAGCCTCCGACAATGTGCGAGGCAACGTCAGCACCTTAAGAACACAAATGCATGTGTTCTCATTATTCACATGTACTTTACAGAGGGACATCTTCCCGAGACAAGTTAGTTAGCTGACTATAAAAGTCCAGTTCCCAATCTTGCCGAACTAGGTCGGAATTTCAAGGCTCGATCGCAGCGCCACTTGTGGCTATTACGAGTTATGTCCCTCTTCTGTCCCTCCCATTGACCAATCAGATTCCACCTCTCATATCACTTGCATTTGCTTCAAACAAAATGGCGAAGACCAGGCAAGACGATCTGATCGATGCTCAGGATCTATATTAATATGAAATTAAACGGGTCTTACCCCGCGAAGTGCATCACATTCCCTGAACCTGATTTGGAAAATATCTGTTGACGCCCAATTGGCGGTACACACGCTTTGCAAATCCTGCAATCGACCGAAATCTGCACGGCATTTTTCGAACCGGATGTCGATTTCGTTACGCAATTTTGATTGGACTACGCATAGACTCGTTAGTCCAGCAAACATATAACTCCGGAATTCCAGCCAAGTTCGGCAAGGGTGAAAACGGGACTTTTATAGTTAGTTAACTGCCTTGGCTGGGGAATACGCAGAGGGAATGTCATATACAGTTGGCCACTTACCGACTACAGCAATACCAAGACAGAGAATCAGCAGAGTCTTCATTCTGATCTATATCACAGCGACATCGTCGTCGGCGATTTATAAGAAGTCTATGATGAACAGGTGCATGTTTCCAACCACCACGTCATCACCGGCAGTGTGGTCAAGGGTAATAACGTCATAAAACTGCAACATCTTTCACTTCTCACCCCACGTGGCAGAAACTAATGTCAAGGTACTTGTCCTTCACGGATATCCATAACTCAACATATATTTACTAAGTATTAACGGGGTCAAGGTAGCATGGGTTTGGCAGTGAAAGTAGGTTTGATTTATATCAATCGAAACTCATTTTGGTTGTCTCCTAAATGAAATTATGTTGTGAATCTCATTCCAGTAAATATCCTTATGTTTTTAGACCCAATGCAAGTTCAGGTCAGGACTCTTCACAACATTCAAGCTGGACACATAAATTACATCGTTTATTTCTATGATAATTAGCACAGTCATGCCAGAGGTTTGCGTTTGTTGAACCCAGCCCTGGTTTAAACCGTATGTTCTGTATCGATCCTTCCCATATCCTGCATACAATCATGTATGACACCTTTATGGCGCTGCTGATATATAAAGTTGTTTTCTATGCCACTTAAATACATAGCAATGTTCCACGATGTATAGGGGCGGTCTGGTAGCCAAGTGGTTAAAGCGTTCGCTCGTCACGCCGAAGACCCGGGTTCGATCCCCGACATGGGTACAATGTGTGAAGCCCATTTCTGGTGTCCCACGACGTGATATTGCTGGAATATTGCTAAAAGCGGCGTAAAATCATACTCACTCGTTCACTCACTGTATAGACGTACAACACAGCGACACAGTATATGAAAATACATTAATATGAAATATGCTAGACTCGTACTGTACGTACAGTATTATGTCATAAGTTGATAAAATGTTTTCTAGATACCCGATAAGTAATACATGTATTTGCAATAAATAGATTGGTATATGTTATGTAGCATATTGAATAACAGGTATCACTGTCGTTACCACAGTGACCTACAGAGTGAGTGAGTCTGTATCAGATATCATATGATGAGTCAGCATGACGTGGGCGGATTGCCACAGGCAGTACCGGGACGGTTACAAGTTTGGTGAGGACCCTACAGCATGGTGCTGACAAATCAAGAAACATAACGAGGAAATGGACGCTGCTTTGTCCGTGTTTAATTTAACGCAAAGACCTAAAGGGTACGTGGTTACGTGAGATTGGTTTAGCTCCTCTTTGAACAGTATTTCAGTTATATCACGACGCGTCAGCTGGATGTGGGTTGTGATACGAGCACGGGTATGGTGCTGACCTAGATAACAAAGTAACTATAGCAGTTCTTCCTCTATTCCACTAGGAGTTCGTCGCATTGTGAATAACTACAGCTGTATATCGTTACAGGATACGGTTTTCAGTAGGTAGTAGTAGGTCGTGCTTAACTAATTCTCCAGATGCACATTTAATGTTTCTTGACAAAAGCTAAGTGATACTCACTGAATATGTTGTCATATGGCAGTGTATGTTCTTGTTGAACAATGATTGTAACTGTGCTACATTGTTTCTGTTGAGATTCTGAAGACGCTCATTGCATTGTGTTTTGGCAGTGGTTAGTTGTTAGGAATGTAGTACTACTTAATGTAAGCAGTTTTGAGGAAGTTTCTATATTCAGATGCTAGTGTCACGTGTAAGCTTCCGGAATACCGCGGATTGAGATAGAGTGTTATAGAAACATGGATACTATTTTATATTGTGAGGGCACTGTGTGGAAGTTTCCAGTAGCTAGTTAGGTATATAAGAAGTCAAGAGCATGCATCTCGTATCTCTCTCACACATTCCATCACATCAAGACCACCATCACTCCGACTCCATACCTAGGCCTATCTTGGACTCCTGACCACTGTCGCCCCATGTTGAATATGCATTGTTATCACTGCCTGTCGCCCCATGTTGAGTATGCATTGTTATCACTGCCTGTCGCCCCATGTTGAGTATGCATTGTTATCACTGCCTGTCGCCCCATGTTGAGTATGCATTGTTATCACTGCCTGTCGCCCCATGTTGAGTATGCATTGTTATCACTGCCTGTCGCCCCATGTTGAGTATGCATTGTTATCACTGCCTGTCGCCCCATGTTGTATATGCATTGTTATCACTGCCTGTCGCCCCATGTTGAATATGCATTGTTATCACTGCCTGTCGCCCCATGTTGAATATGCATTGTTATCACTGCCTTTCTAGTGTCAGGGGCACAGGTGGCTCAGTCGTCTGAGAAGCCGCAATTCGCTGTGCAGAGTTGCGTCCCTTGGGCACGCCAGAAACCCATGATTGTGGGTTCGAATCCCGGTTCGCCCCGATTATGTTTCTAGGTTTGTCAGCACCATACCCTGCTCGTGGGTTTCACCGAAGTGGTAAACGTCTGAGACCTGCATCACTTCGGGCTTTCCTCTCACATTAAGCTGACACGCCGCGATATGACACGTTATGGCGTTAAACACAACTCACTCACTCACTCACTTTTACTGTCACCACTGTATATATATATCTGACACTGCTCACTGCCATCATAGTATATACTGTCACTGAATAGTGTACTGCCACTCTATTGTGTACTGCCACTCTACTGTGTACTGCCACTCTATTGTGTACTGTCACTCTATTGTGTGCTGCCACTCTATTGTGTACTGCCGCTCTATTGTGTACTGCCACTCTATTGTGTACTGCCACTCTATTGTGTACTGCCACTCTATTGTGTGCTGCCACTCTATTGTGTACTGCCGCTCTATTGTGTACTGCCACTCTATTGTATACTACCACTCTATTGTGTACTACCACTCTATTGTGTACTGCCACTCTATTGTGTGCTGCCACTCTATTGTGTACTGCCACTCTATTGTGTACTGCCACTCTATTGTGTACTGCCACTCTATTGTGTACTACCACTCTACTGTGTACTGCCACTCTATTGTGTACTGCCACTCTATTGTGTGCTGCCACTCTATTGTGTGCTGCCACTCTATTGTGTACTGCCACTCTATTGTGTGCTGCAACTCTATTGTGTACTGCCACTCTATTGTGTGCTGCCATTGCCATATGACTAAGTATTGACATCACGAAGTTAAAGTTTAATTCACACAAACTAGAAAATATAATAAAATAACATGAACATATGAATGTTAATGTACATCTTAAATACATAAGCCAGCATGCAGTGTGAATACAGCCGGTATGCTGGTATTGAAGACCAGAGCACCTCTCCAGGAATGACTGGTAGCAACTTCATTACCATCTTTACAAGACAAAAGACTCAAGACAACTTAAACGTTGTATTTTATTTCCTTCACATTGCAGTGATTTAAATTCCAGATTCGCTTCTGATCCAGTCACGATAGCTGGAAGCGCGTGCATACACCGTCGGGTAGGAAGTGACGCAACCAGTGATCACCCATGATGCAGCACCCAAAAGGGTGAACTGGTTACTTCCGCTCTTTTGACATACAAGGGGTCCCCCGCTGTCTCCCTGCAAGAGATATTTTTTTTAAACTGTTAAATGAAACATCATTTCACGATATTCAGGCGATGGACCTCTTTTTCAATTAAGAGGTACTTCGTAGTTAATTGAAAATGAGGGTTACCTCTCCACACTGCTTTCATGAAGGATTAGTACTGCGATATTCATGTCGGTTAAGATAACTACATTGGATCTTGCAATAACCGTTGACACACATAACCTTGACGTTTACAAAAATTACGTTCACATTAACTTTGAAGTTAATTGTTCTCCTCGGAAATACACGACGTGGTCCCGGACATACCCGACATGTTCCTGAACATATCCGAAATGGTCTTGGACACACCGAAAATGGTCGCGAACATACCCGATATTTCCAGGACACAACTGACATGGTCCCGGACATACCCGACATGTTCCCCGGAGATACTCGGCACGTTCCCGGAGAGTTATTGTTACGTACGTTACAACCTCCAGTCACGCCATTGAAGTCGAAGGCACAGATGTGGTCGGATCTGACAGCACTGCCGATGCGACTGCGGCAATCACTGTACGAGATGACGTTGGTGGGAGCCTCTTGCAGTTTGTCAGGCAAGCCAGCGTTAATTCCTGAAATTAACATAAACCATTGCATCGGATTTGTATTTTGTTTTACTTTGATCTACCACTGTAGTGAATGGTCCATTGACAATAACACCCTACCACTGGCCTCTCGCGAGATATAACACGGCAATGCCAGGGAATAACCAGTCTCGATTATCAGACGAGACAGATTCCATTAAGCCTGAATGGCAAACTAGCTGTGAAAATCAGTGATGATACCAGGTGTTCGCGAAAAGGGTAAGCAGGTCCTAAAAGGGTAAACATGTCGTCAAGGGTAAGCATGTCCTCAAGGGTAAGCGTGTCCTAAAGGGTAAGCATGTCCTCAAGGGTAAGCATGTCCTCAAGGGTAAGCATGTCCTCAAGGGTAAGCATGTCCTTAAGGGTAAGCGTATCCTCAAGGGTAAACATGTCCTCAAGGGTAAGCATGTCCTCAAGGGTAAGCATGTCCTCAAGGGTAAGCATGTCCTCAAGGGTAAGCATGTCCTCAAGGGTAAACATGTCTTAAAAGGGTAAGCATGTCCTGCATAAAAAAACAAACGTGGTTGTTCCCTGACACCGAACAGCTTTGCTCCTGCTTTGCGATGGCGGCATGTCAACAAACCAGACAATCAAGTGATGGACCAGAGATACAGATTCATTCACTGATTTTGTTGAAGTTAAACGCAGTATGAAAAATTTTGAATAACGTCTGCTGTGTACCGTGGGTTTCACCTCACCCTGTATTGAAGTGTATAACTGTGTTTACCATTGGTTTTTCCCCATCCTGTGATGAAGCAGTTGCTCTCCCCGGCGAAGTCGTCGTTGTTGTCGATGAGGTTGGCGGGCTGGATGGCAGAGTTCATGACGACGTCGGTGTTGAACTGGATCAGTGCGATGTCGTTGGGGAAACCAGACTGGTTGGGATTCCACCCCGGGTGCTGGGATACAGGTGAGATATAGGTGAGATACAGGTGAGCTACAGTTGATATTTAGGAGTGAGTGAGTGAGTCTGGTTTTACGCTGCTTTTGCAATATTCCAGCAATATCATGGCGGTGGACACCGGAAATGAGCTTCACACATTGTACCTATGTCGGGAATTAAACCCGGGTCTTCGGCGTGACGAGCGAACGCTTTCACCACTAGGCTACCCGACCGCCCCTGAGATTTAGACGAAACAAAGGTGAGATAAGATGAGTCGAGACCGGATGTTATTATGGCAGTGGATCACTCGGTACTACCTGATAAAGGATCACCACTTTTTTTCAATCGGTCAATCGGTCATTATAGGATTTATTTTACTTCAGATACTGCACACTGCGGTCATTATCACTCCTCGGAGTGTCATGCGAGTTGATATGGGTATGTGAAAGTTCATGTACTCACGATGACGAACCTGGTGACTCCAACTGTCTGGTCAAAGCCGGTGTTGCTAGCGAGACTGTGAGCTCCAAACACCACCTCGTAGTCACCGACGCCCCTACAAGCATATCGTGTTATATGACATTCTCGTAGTCACCGACGCCCCTACAAGCATATCGTGTTATATGACATTCTCGTCGTCACCGACGCCCTCACAAACATGGACGTGTTATATGACATTCTCGTAGTCACCGACGCCCTTACAAGCATATCGTGTTATATGACATTCTCGTAGTCACCGACGCCCCTACAAGCATATCGTGTTATATGACATTCTCGTCGTCACCGACGCCCCTACAAGCATATCGTGTTATATGACATTCTCGTCGTCACCGACGCCTCTTCAACCCTCGACGTGTTATATGACATTCTCGTCGTCACCGACGCCCTTACAAACATGGACGTGTTATATGACATTCTCGTAGTCACCGACGCCCTTACAAGCATATCGTGTTATATGACATTCTCGTCGTCACCGACGCCCCTACAAGCATATCGTGTTATATGACATTCTCGTCGTCACCGACGCCTCTTCAACCCTCGACGTGTTATATGACATTCTCGTCGTCACCGACGCCTCTTCAACCCTCGACGTGTTATATGACATTCTCGTCGTCACCGACGCCCTTACAAACATGGACGTGTTATATGACATTCTCGTAGTCACCGACGCCCTTACAAGCATATCGTGTTATATGACATTCTCGTCGTCACCGACGCCCCTACAAGCATATCGTGTTATATGACATTCTCGTCGTCACCGACGCCTCTTCAACCCTCGACGTGTTATATGACATTCTCGTCGTCACCGACGCCCTTACAAACATGGACGTGTTATATGACATTCTCGTCGTCACCGACGCCCTTACAAACATGGACGTGTTATATGACATTCTCGTAGTCACCGACGCCCTTACAAGCATATCGTGTTATATGACATTCTCGTCGTCACCGACGCCCCTACAAGCATATCGTGTTATATGACATTCTCGTCGTCACCGACGCCTCTTCAACCCTCGACGTGTTATATGACATTCTCGTCGTCACCGACGCCCTTACAAACATGGACGTGTTATATGACATTCTCGTAGTCACCGACGCCCTTACAAGCATATCGTGTTATATGACATTCTCGTCGTCACCGACGCCCCTACAAGCATATCGTGTTATATGACATTCTCGTCGTCACCGACGCCTCTTCAACCCTCGACGTGTTATATGACATTCTCGTCGTCACCGACGCCCTTACAAACATGGACGTGTTATATGACATTCTCGTAGTCACCGACGCCCTTACAAGCATATCGTGTTATATGACATTCTCGTCGTCACCGACGCCCCTACAAGCATATCGTGTTATATGACATTCTCGTCGTCACCGACGCCCCTACAAGCATATCGTGTTATATGACATTCTCGTCGTCACCGACGCCCTTACAAACATGGACGTGTTATATGACATTCTCGTCGTCACCGACGCCCCTACAAGCATATCGTGTTATATGACATTCTCGTCGTCACCGACGCCCCTACAAGCATATCGTGTTATATGACATTCTCGTCGTCACCGACGCCTCTTCAACCCTCGACGTGTTATATGACATTCTCATAGTTACCCACACCCCTACAAGCATGGACGAGTTTCGCGTACACCAGGTGTCACTGATTCTCAGTGCTCTAGTCATATATTTTGTACCGCTATTTTGCCTTTAACGCCCAGTGGAATCTGGTAATAGAGACAAAACTGGTGATACTAGTTGACATTTAAATGTACAGCTACTATATACTCGTAAGTTCATTCGAACCCCACTCAGACTTTCAGAATGAATAGGTTCTCAATGCAAGCCCATGGAAATTAAGGAAAATAAACACACCCCAGTCGTCTAATACCAAATGATTGACATTTGTAATAGAAACAATATGCGAACGAGGATACATTATACATGATATCTATGATACCTTGGTGAAGGTGGACGTGGAGGTGGTGGTGGCGGTGGTGGCGGTGCTGGTGGTGATGGTGATGGTGGTGATGGTGCTGGTGGTGATGGTGATGGTGGCGGTGCTGGATGTGATGGTGATGGTGGTGGTGGTGGCGGTGATGGTGGCGGTGGTGGTGATGGTGGTTGTGGTGGTGGTGATGGTGATGGTAGTGGTGGTGGTGGCGGTGGTGGTGATGGTGGTGGTGATGGTAGTGGTGGCGGTGGTGGTGATGGTGGTGGTGGTGGTGGCGGTGGTGGTGATGGTGGTGGTGATGGTAGTGGTGGTGGTGGTGGTGGTGGTGGTGGTGATAGTGATGGTGATGATGATAATGGTGGTGTTGGTGGTGATGGCGGTGATGGTTGTGGTGGTGGTGGTGGTGATGGTGATGGTGATGATGGTGGTGGTGGTGGTGGTGATGGTGATGATGATAATGGTGGTGTTGGTGGTGATGGTGATGATGGTTGTGGTGGTGGTGATGGTGATGGTGATGGTGATGGTGATGATGGTGGTGGTGGTGGTGGTGATGGTGGTGGTGGTGGTGGTGGTGATGGTGGTGGTGGTGGTGATGATGGTGATGGTGATGATGGTTGTGGTGGTGGTGATGGTGATGATGGTTGTGGTGGTGATGATGGTGATGGTGATGATGGTTGTGGTGGTGGTGATGGTGATGGTGATGATGGTTGTGGTGGTGGTGGTGATGGTGGTGGTGGCGGCGGTGGTGGTGGTGATGGTGGTGGTGGTGATGATAATGGTGGTGTTGGTGGTGATGGTGGTGATGGCGGTTATGGTGGTGGTGGTGGTGAGGGTGGTGGTGGTGGTGATGGTGGTGATGGTGGTGGTGATGGTGATGGTGGTGGTGGTGGTGATGGTGGTGGTGATGATGGTGGCGGTGCTGGTGGTGATGGTGGTGGTGATGATTGTGATGGTGGTGGTGGTGATGGTAGTGATGGTGGTGGTGATGGTGGTGGTGGTGATGGCGATGGTGGTGATGGCGGTTATGGTGATGGTGGTGGTGGTGATGGTGGTGGTGGTGGTGGTGGTGGTGGTGGTGGTGGTGGTGGTGATGGTGGTGGTGGTGGTGGTGGTGGTGGTGGTGGTGGTGGTGGTGGTGGTGGTGGTGATGGTGGTGATGGTAGTGATGGTGGTGGTGATGGTAGTGATGGTGGTGGTGATGGTGGTGGTGATGGTGGTGGTGGTGGTGGTGGTGGTGGTGGTGGTGGTGGTGGTGATGGTGGTGATGGTAGTGATGGTGGTGGTGATGGTAGTGATGGTGGTGGTGATGGTGGTGGTGGTGGTGATGGTGGTTATGGTGGTGGTGGTGGTGAGGGTGGTGATGGTGGTGATGGTGATGGTGGTGGTGGTGGTGGTGATGGTGGTGATGGTGATGGTGGTGGTGGTGGTGGTGATGGTGGTGGTGGTGATGGTGGTGGTGATGGTGGTGATGGTGGTGATGGTGATGGTGGTGGTGGTGGTGGTGATGGTGGTGATGGTAGTGATGGTGGTGGTGATGGTGGTGGTGGTGGTGATGGTGGTGATGGTGGTGGTGATGGTGGTGATGGTGGTGGTGATGGTGGTGGTGATGGTGGTGATGGTGGTTATGGTGGTGGTGGTGGTGATGGTGGTGATGGTGGTGATGGTGGTGGTGGTGATGGTGGTGGTGGTGGTGGTGATGGTGGTTATGGTGGTGATGGTGGTGATGGTGGTGGTGGTGGTGATGGTGATGGTGGTGGTGATGGTGATGGTGATGGTGATGGTGATGGTGGTGGTGGTGGTGATGGTGGTGATGGTGGTGATGGTGGTGGTGGTGGTGGTGGTGGTGGTGGTTATGGTGGTGGTGATGGTAGTGATGGTAGTGATGGTGGTGGTGATGGTAGTGATGGTAGTGATGGTGGTGGTGATGGTGGCGGTGATGGTAGTGATGGTAGTGATGGTAGTGATGGTGGTAGTGATGGTGGTGGTGATGGTAGTGATGGTAGTGATGGTGGTGGTGATGGTAGTGATGGTAGTGATGATGGTGGTGATGGTGGTGATGATGATGGTGGTGATGGTGGTGGTGGTGGTGGTGATGGTGGTGGTGATGGTGGTGATGGTGGTTATGGTGGTGGTGGTGGTGATGGTGGTGATGGTGGTGATGGTGGTGGTGGTGGTGGTGATGGTGGTGGTGATGGTGGTGGTGGTGGTGGTGATGGTGGTGGTGATGGTGGTGATGGTGGTTATGGTGGTGGTGGTGGTGATGGTGGTGATGGTGGTGATGGTGGTGGTGGTGGTGATGGTTGTGATGGTGATGATGGTGGTGGTGATGGTGATGGTGATGGTGGTGATGGTGGTGATGGTGGTGGTGATGGTGGTGGTGATGGTGGTGATGGTGGTGATGGTGGTGGTGATGGTGGTGATGGTGGTGGTGATGGTGGTGATGATGGTGATGGTGGTGGTGATGGTGGTGGTGATGGTGGTGATGGTGGTGGTGATGGTGGTGGTGGTGGTGGTGGTGGTGGTGGTGGTGGTGGTGGTGGTGATGGTGGTGGTGATGGTGGTGATGGTGGTGGTGATGATGGTGATGGTGATGGTGGTGGTGGTGGTGGTGGTGGTGATGGTGGTGGTGGTGGTGGTAGTGATGGTGGTGGTGGTGGTGATGGTGGTGGTGGTGGTGGTGGTGGTGGTGATGGTGGTGGTGATGGTGGTGATGGTGGTGGTGATGATGGTGATGGTGATGGTGGTGGTGGTGGTGGTGGTGGTGATGGTGGTGGTGGTGGTGGTAGTGATGGTGGTGGTGGTGGTGATGGTGGTGGTGATGGTGGTGGTGATGGTGGTGATGGTGGTGATGGTGGTGGTGATGGTGGTGATGGTGGTGGTGATGGTGGTGGTGATGGTGGTGATGGTGGTTATGGTGGTGGTGGTGGTGATGGTGGTGATGGTGGTGATGGTGGTGGTGATGGTGGTGGTGATGGTGGTGATGGTGGTGATGGTGGTGGTGATGGTGGTGATGGTGGTGGTGATGGTGGTGGTGATGGTGGTGATGGTGGTTATGGTGGTGGTGGTGGTGATGGTGGTGATGGTGGTGATGGTGGTGGTGATGAT